CAGCCGCTGTTGACGGTGGGCTGTGGGGCCAGGGACGTAACAGGGAGACCACGGCGGTCAGTCCTGGTGAGAGAGCAGGAGGACTCAAACCAGGAGATCACGGTCGAGGCAGAGAGAGGCTCGGAGTACCAGGGGACGCTGGCAGGCAGGACCAACAGGCGAGAGGGAGAGAGGGGTCTAAGTGGACCAAATGGGCAGGATGGTGTGACCATCAGGTACAGTTGGGAGTTGCTGAAAGAGGAGAGGGGAGGAGAGGTCAAGAGTTCAAGTTCAAACGTGCACCTTTGCGTGACATCCAACATGGTTCCGCAAGGGAGTCCAGAGCGTCAGCGGCTCGACTGCCCAACCAAGCCCAGACGATCAGAGGAACAAACCGAGGTGGACCAGCACCTCCCCTGAGCCCTGACCTTGAGCCAGGCCCTGTGCTGACAGCTTCCCAGCAGTTATCTCCCTGGGCCTCACAACAGGGAGACCAGGAGCGGGCAGCAGACAGCTGGAGCTCCTGTCTTCACAGACGAACACCAGCCTTGGGCAGAGGAATCACTCACCCAAGGCCACCAAGATGGCCCTGGTGGAGCTGGGCTCTAACCCGATCCCGTGTTTTACTTCTGTTACTGGTTAAGTCCAGCAGAAGYCAGGGGGAAGAAGGTTCATTGAGATCCGGAACTTGAGCTCCATCTCGAAAGAGGRTTTGCAGGAAAGGAGAGGGAGGATGAGGTCCCTGCTGTCCTCTGCAGCCGTCCCTTGAGTCACTGCTTCATTAGGCTCCACCGGCCGATCCTGAGACACACCCAGTGCTGTTCCTCTTGAGGGCTTTCACCCATATTTCCCCTCCATGGTACTGGGGATTGAACCTAGGGGCACTTTACYACTGWGCTACATCCTCAGTCCTTTTATTTTTTATTTTTAAAATTTTTGAGACAGGGTCTCTCTAAGTTGCCCAGGGAGGCCGTGRACGTGCGATCCTCCTGCCTCGGCCTCCCGTGTCACTGGGATTATGGGCGTGTGCACCACTGTGCCTGGCTCATCCTATCTCATTTCCTAGATGACTCGTACGTATCTCTGGGGGCTCAACTCAAATGTCACTTCCTCCACGAGGCCTTCCCTGATCCTCCAGAACAAGCCTCCTTACACTGCACAGTGAGAGCTCTTCAGACAATTCTCATCACTGTTTGTGCAAAGACGTGTTCAGTGTCCACCTGGTTCACCAGAGCAGTGCTGGTCAACAGAATTTGGGAAAATGCTGCAACTACAGGAATGTTCTAGACTTAGGCTGCTCAAAACAGTAGCAACTAGTCACTTGTAGCCATTAAGCTTGTGAAATGACAGCCAGGTATGGTGGTGCACAGCTGCGGGGGGTGGGGCTGAGCCAGGATCACAAGTTCAAAGCCAGCCTCAGCAACTTAGTGAGCCCCTAAGCAACTTAGCAAGCCCTGTCTCTAAAAAAAAAAAAAAAAAAAATTTAAAAGGGCTGGGGATGTGGCTCAGTGATTGAAGGCCCCTGGGTTCAATCCCTGATATCAAAAGGCAAAAATAAATAAATAAAAGCATGTGAAATGATTGAGGGACTGATTTTTACATAGTATATTATGCTATTAAATATTTCACATGAATTACATAATTGAAACTAATTTAGGCTTCAACTTAAATAACCACAGTTAGCTGGCAGCTACCATATCAGACACTGCAGCTCTAGACTGTGATATCCTTAAGGACAAGGACCATTCTGTCTTTTTTTTTTTTTTTTTTTTTGGTACCAGGGATTGAACTCAGGAGCAGTGGACCACTGAGCCCCATCCCCAGCCCTACTTTGTATTTTATTTAGAGACAGGATCTCACTGAGTTGCTTGGCGCCTCACTTTTGCTGAGGCTGGCTCTGAACTCACGATCCTCCTGTCTCAGCCTCCCAAGCCACTGGGATGACAKGCGTGCGTGCGCCACCACACCCGGCCCATTCTGCCTTATTTAGCTGTAGAATCCTTTGCACTGAGGATGGTACCCAAGGAATCCATCCATCCATTCATCCAACTATTCACCCATCCATGCATGGATGTGGTCTGAAAAACTTGTTTTCAAGAGACCATTCTAGAAAAGAGGGACCTAAAAAGAAGTCTGACTTACACAAGGGCACATAATAAGGCAGAAGTGGATATAAAAAAACCTCTCAGCTGCCTGGATCTTCTGTACATGATCCTGTCCCCGAGTGAATAGCAGGTGGAAGACAAGGGTTATTTGCAGTCTCAAATGAACCACTCCAGAGCCGTGTGAAGGTGCCCCCAAATGCAAGGAAGGACTGTTTTCTCAGGCACCTTATCCCCTTTCCCCCCTTCCCATAACCCATAAACTACTTAGTGGCTTATAATCTATTAACACTTGGCCTCCCACAGGACCGAGTCTGTTCCAAAGTCCACTCCTGCCAACCCTCTCTGAGGCACTCGGAATTTTTTTTTTTTTTAACCATATTGCTCTCAGGAAATCTGTTGCCTGCAATCTGTGCATAATATATGTAGGGTGTGGTTTAAAAACATCTAAGTCGTGATTTGTAACCCACTCAGATTCGCACAGCTGTTTCTTTAGCTTACTCTTTTTTTATATATATAAATTGAGGTCAGCACATTTCAGGGCTAATTTTGACTTCATTCAAATGTAGTTTGGGGTTTTCAAAGTACAATTTGGGGAGTCCAGCATTAGTGAACCTAGAGATTTTATTTTTTATAAATGATTTTTCAGATGTATTAATAGCAATAGCTGGTAAGGTGTTGGGTGCTTTGTATCAGCCAAGCATTGAGCGTTCTTTATCTTATTTGATCTTTATAATAATTCTAGGATTCAAGAATTATTATTATTGATATATATATATATATATATTTTGGGGGGGGTGCTGGGGATTGAACCCAAGACTTGTGCATACGAAGCATGAACTCTATCACTGAGCTACACTCCCTACCCCAAGATACTGAGAAACTGAGTATCAGAAAGGCTAACCCACTCCACTAGAGTAACCCAGATGGGAAGTGGCAGGGTCAGGAGTTGAACCCAAGTCTGTCTGCTCACAGCCAATGTTCCCTCGAAGCATACAATTTGACCTCTCTAATAGACATTATGTCTATCAAACCTCAGAAAGGGGAGGGGGAACGTGGAGGGGGGAAGACGGTAGAAATGAGATGCACGTTATTACCCCTACGTATGGGTATGACTTCATGAATGGTGTGCACAACCAGAGAAATGAAAAGTTGTGCTCCATTTGAGTTTTTAAAAAAAAAATAAAATCATTTTTAAACAATTCAGAAAGAATAATCAAGAGACAACTCTGGGGATAGAACTGGGGTTCGGGAAGAGGGAGAATCACTTTTCATTCTAGTGTTTCTCTCTGAGCTTTACTATATTTATATATGTTATATAATCTATGCATATTTAAAACCAAATTAATTTTTTATTTTCAATAAGTAAAAAGCCTCTTCCTATTTTTACTCTGTGTGTGTGCGCGTGTGTGTTGCTGGGGATCAAATGCAGGGCCTTGTGCTTCCCCAGCAAGTGTTGCTCCATGAGCTCCACCCCCACACCTATTTTTACTCCTTTTAAATTGAGCATAGAATTGTTATGATGATATCTCTATATTAGTAGATTAAATATACATACATCTTCTGCAAAGTTCACATGGTCTGACATCGTTTGAAAACATATCCCATTAAATCTGGAGTTCCAATATATATTCTTATTCCAAATACCATGATTTTTCTCTCCATTTTTTGAACCATCTTTTACTTTAGGATAATAGTTTGGTTTTTGACCACACTGTTTATTTCCAATGAAAGTGGCATGTTTTCCTTGATCCATTTGCACTCAGACATTTTCATTTTTATATAGTCACATATCTAGACCTGATAAATAGGCATCCTTCAGCATTTATGAAATAAGGCTATAGATTCATAAGTCATGAGATTTGTGGACCAATTAATAAGCTCAAAATTTAAATTAATAAAGATTTTACATGAAAATTAATTTTACACTGATTAAGAAGGAAACATTACAACCCCTTTCAGTACTCGGAGCCTCAGAGACCTGTATCAGTCACACTAAAAGTCACTTGGGAGAATTCCTGGGGAGCTCAGAGGAGAATGCACACCATTTTTTAAAGAAAATACACTCATGCTAACCATCACGTAACCTTTCCATGCTTTTACCATCCAAACGGCCAGAGATTCTAAAAATCAAAACAAAACCCTCAGAAATGTTCTTTTTAAGGACCTCTCTCCTACTCTCGGAATTTGCTTAAAACGCCTCACCCTCTGCAGCAGGAAAAATCCCTAAGCCCCTCTGCAAGGCCCTAGCCTTCCCATTGCTTGGTGCACGGTCCCCCAAGATCCCTGGAGCAAATGTGGCATCCCTGAAAAATTCCCATCCTCAAAAAGAATGCCTGCCGGATGTCTCCGGGGTGAGTCCCACTCTAGCTGTGACATGTCTCTCATTCAGAAGGCGGCAGAGGCTTGGGCGGCCGTGCCCACAGCCCTCTCCATTCACACACCCCCAGGAACCACAGGACTCTGCCCAGAGCCTCTCCTCTGGGAAGGAGCCCTGGCTTCTCAAAAAACAGCCTGCGACCTCCTCTCCCGGCTTCCCACGACACCTGGCAGGAACCGCGGGGACCTCGCGGCGTCGCAGGGCTGGGGAGGACCGCTGTCACCGCACGGACCCATCCGTGCAGCCCCCATTCCCCCGCAGCAGCGGCGACAGCAGAGACCTCAGCGTCCCTGGAGCATCCGGAGCGAGTCAAGGAGAAAACCCGAGCCCACGGCTGGCTCTGGGCAGCGGCTGCCAGCGCAGGAAACGGACTGAGTCAGGGACCGCGCGCGGGGCTGCGGGGAAGGAAGATGGCTCGCCTCCTCGGGCCTCTGCGCTCCGCCGAGCGCGCTCCCCCTCCACCCTGGAGCCCCGCGGACAGGTCCCCGCCGCAGGTTTCGCGGTGACCCCGCCTGCCCGCGCCCGGGCCCGGCACTCACGGCAGCTGCCTGAGCTGGAACAGGTCCTCCTCCATGTCCGCGCTGCGCCAGGACCAGCCCTTCTCATGGCCCTTACATGGTCGTGGCGACGGCGAGCGCGCGGGTGTCGGCGCCGGGAGGCTTCCTCCCTCTCCCTCGGGCGGCAGCTGCTCCGGGGAGGGAGCCGCCGGGGACCGGCCCACGAGACAAAGCCACCGCCGCCGCCGCCACTGCCACCCGGAGACCGCGGCCGGGTGGGCGGAGAGGCGCGGGCGGAGGGCGGGGCCAGCGGCGAGGGCGGGGGCGGGGAGCGCGCGGAGGCGCAGCCTGCGGTGGGGCGGCGCGGGACCCCTGCGCTCCCGGCCCCCGACCAGGGCGCACCGCCTCTCCACGCCTTTATTTGCAGAGATGCACTGATGGGGTCACGATTGCATGCATTCTCGAAGCCCGGGCTGCGATAATAAATGCAGGGTAGGATTTCTTTTTTAAAGGTATCTACTCATTTAAGCACTGTTTTATGGAGCACCTGCTGTATGCCAGGCATGGCGATAGGCACGTAGTGTGTGATGGAACAAATTGGATAGATCCTTGTCAGCGCGGAGCTGAAGGTCTAGTGAATGCATCTAGGAGGAATGTGTGTTTAGCCTGCCAAAGGCCACGCACGCTTTCATTCCACAAGCTTTTGGGGCGTTTCTACAGCCTTGGCTCTGCGGGGTCCCTGCCCTCAAGGTTCTTCTAGTTGAGTTCAAAGTTCCTCCACCCACTAGAATTCCTGCCTCCCCTTATAACTCAAGCTCCATGCACTTTCAAGGATGCGTCTTAAGCACCTACAACAGCGCCTGGCTCACAGAAGGTGCTGGGTAAACATGTGCGGAGTGAATGGTTCTCAGTTCAGGTTACACAGAAAAAACTCAGGGCTTCATCCCAAACCGGATGGACCCAACTCTCTGGAGGCGGGGCCAGAGCCTGGGTATTTTTTTTTTTTTTTAAAGCTCACCAACAGCCCAGAGTGAAAACCTCTGGTCTAATGTGAATAAATGAAGAGAAAAGAAATTACACAATAGGGAAGGACAAATGACCTGTGATGGTCACTATCAGGATGTATGAGATGGAAGAAGGAATGGGAGCACCCAAGGCAGCAAAGAAAGAGGAAAACTTTTTTTTTTCCCCTTCAGGGTTGACAAATTGGGATGAGAGGGTGTCTCAGGAAACCAATCCAAGAACTAGAAACAGCTTCACACCAAATGCATGTCAGAATTTCACACTGAGTCCAAAAAACAAAACCAAAAATGACAAACAAAACAACAAGTACCTTGAAAATCCAGGGTGGGGTGCATTGCAGACACACGGGGACGTGTCCCACCTACATTGTTCACATTGATCTTAGCAACAGTCCTCTGGAACAGGATTGCAGTTTTACAGATGAATATACAATTCTTACAGAGGGGAAATCCCTTGTTCAAAGCCACCCAGACAGATAAGGATTGATCTGAAATCAAAACCCAATCCATCTCCAGAAACTGCACCCTTCAGTGGTAGGCTTTCAGAGATTCTCCAAAGAGATCATCCTTCATGGATACAGTAGGAGAAATTTGAGTTGATGAAACATTGCATAGCTTGAAATAAGCTGAATGTTGAGGAAACCAATTACGAAACATCCATTATTATTCATCCAGCAAATATTTTTTTAAGAGAGAGAGATAATTTTAATATTTACTTTTTAGTTATCAGCGGACACAGTATCTTTGTTTGTATGTGGTGCTGAGGATCAAACCCGGGCCGCACACATGCCAGGCGAGCACACTACCGTTTGAGCCACATCCCCAGCCCATCCAGCAAATATTGATTGAGAAACATCTAGGTGTCTGACACAGTGACAGTTTGTAGCAACTTATCATGGCTACTTCTGACTTCATACTTGAGTGCCAGTCACAGTTTGCCCCACTCCTACTCATTTCTAAAGGAATCAGCCCCTCCTTGACTGAGAACTGCACCTGCTGTCCCATGACTGTCAGCCAGGGTGACTGGCTCAGAAGGGGGATGCTAACCCAAAGACATCCAACCCAGACAGTTGGCAATACCATTTTTGCATAGCTGGGAAAAGTGGGCAATCTGGTACCTTTTTCTTTTTCTTTTTTTWTCATCTACCTTTGTCTTTTTGTTGTGGCGTCTTCCTATGCTGTTCTCGAACTTGTGGGCTTAAATGATCCTCCTGCCCCAATCTCCTGAGTGCTGGGAATCATGGATTCTAATGTCTCTGAGTTACTATGTAACTCAGCCATTTCACCACTATCTGTAATCTTCAAAGAATTGAAAGCAAACACTCAAGCAGATCCTTGCCCACCAATGTTTTAGCAACATCATTCACCATAGCCAAAGGGTGGAAAGAACTCAAATGAACCCCAACAGATGCATGGGTAAACAAAATGTGCTTTATACACACAAAAGAATATTATTCAGTTGTATAAAAGAATTTAGTTTTAAATAACTCAATCAATAAATGGGCTGAGGATCTGAACAGACACTTCATAGAAGAAATACAATCAATCAACAAATATATGAAAAAATGTTCATCATCTCTAGTAATTAGAGAAATGCAAATTAAACTACACTGAGATTCCATCTCATCCAGTCAGAATGGCAATTATCAAGAATACAAGCAACAGTAAATGTTGGTGAGGATGTGGGGGAAAACAGCACACTCACACATTGCTAGTGGAACTGCAAATTGGTGCAACCACTCTGGAAAGCAGTATGGAACCACCATTTGACCCAGTCATCCCACTCCTCTGTTTAATACCCAAAKGACTTAAAACCAGCATATTACAGTGACACAGCCACATCAATGTTTACAGCAGCTCAATTCACAATAGTTAAACTATGGAACCAACTAGATGCCCTTCAATATACAAATGGATAAAGAAACTGTGGTATATATACACAATGGAATAGTACTCAGCCTTAAAGAAGAATGAAATTATGGCCTTTTCAGGTAAATGGATGGAGCTGGAGAATATCATGCTAACAAAAATAAGCCAATCCCAAAGAACCAAAGGCTGAATGTTTTCTCTGATACGTGGATGCTAATTCACAGTAAAGTGGGGGGCTAGGGAAGAATAGAGGTACTCCGGATTAGACAGACGGAAGTGAAGGAAGGCCAATCCAAAAAGACAGAGAGGGGGCTGGGGATGTGGCTCAAGCGGTAGCGCGCTCGCCTGGCATGYRTGCGGCCCGGGTTCGATCCTCAGCACCACATACCAACAAAGATGTTGTGTCCGCCGAGAACTAAAAAATAAAAAAAAARKTWAAAAWTYYYYTTWAAAAAAAAAAAAGAAAGCAAAAAGACAGAGAGTAGGATCGGAGCCACCAAGGGCTGCGGGGAGAGAAGAATGGGAATTATTTAAAGAGTACTGAGGAACTGTGCTCCATGTGTGTAATATGAATTGTCATGCATTCTGCTGTCAATATAACAAATGAGAATTAAAAGAAAAACATTGCTTGTCTAAATAAACTTGTCTATTTAAAATCTGAAAAAAAATACAGAGTTTCTGTTTGGAGCAATGAAAGAGTTACAGGAATGCATGTGAATGTTCTTTATACCACAGAATTGTACACTTAAAAACTGCTTAAAGGAGCTGGGCGTGAGGGTGCACGCCTGACATCCCAGAGGCTTGGGAGGCTGAGGCAGGAGGACCGTGAGTTCAAAGCCAACCTCAGCAATGGCGAGAYGCTAAGCAACTCAGTGAGACCCTGTCTCTAAATAAAATACCAAAAAGGGCTGGGGATGTGGCTCAATGGCTGAGTGACACTGAATTTAATCCCCCATAAAAAAACTGGTTAAAGGATATATAATACATGCAATTGTTATGGAAGAGAGTATAAAAGTTCCCCTCCAAAAATTGAAAAGAATTAACCTATGATCCAGCAATTCCATTGCTTAGTATGTATCCAAAAGAACTGAACACAGGGTCATAAAGAGATATCTGCCCACCGGTGTTCATCGCCAAGAGCGGGAAACAACTGAGATGTCCCCTGAAAATGAGTGGATACAGAAACCATGGTATACGCTTACAATGGAACATTATTTAGCTATAGAAAAGAAGGGAATCCTGTCATATGCTACATGTGTATCTGTGTTCAGGACATCCTGCTAAGTGAAATAAACCAGTCACAAGGATGTGGGGGAAAGGTACACTTATACATTGGTGGTGGGACTGCAAATCAGCCAAAGGAACCAAATGCTATGTCCCATTATAATGTTCCAATAAAAAAAGGAAATAAGGTGGTCACCAAAAGAGAAATACTGTATGATTCCTCAAAATCAGAAAGAATAGTAGTTACTATGAGCTGAAGAAAGGGGAATGGAGAGTTGTGTGTATAGAGGATTTCAGTTTTGCAGAACGAAGAAGTCCTACCAATCCATTGCACAACGAAGTGCATACAGCTGGCACTACTGTACTGTTCGTGGGCACAAATGGTTAAGAAGTTAATTTGTAGTGTAACCCCAGTGGCTCGGGTGGCTGAGACAGGAAGATCTCGAGTTCAAAGCCAGCCTCAGTAATTTAGCGAGGCCCTAAGCAAAGTCTCTGAATAAAATATATTTTTTTTAAATGGCTGTGGCTGTGGCTCAGTGATTAAGTGCCTCTGGGTTCAATTCCTGGTACCAAGGGAAAAAAAGAAAGAAAGAAAGAGGTGTTAATTTATGTGTGTATGTGATCAAACCCTCATGCACTTCAGGCAGGGGCTCTACCACTGAGCTACATCCCCAGCCCTAAGATGCAAATATGATGGTATGTTTTGCTTACTAAAATAAACAAAATGGTTAAAGAGTAATTTTACATTGTGCACATTTTGCCACAATTAAATTAATACCACTGGAAATGTTAGTCTGACCCATGAGCAAGCATTCTAGAAAGCATTAATGCAGTTGCTTTGCTCACTCATTTGTATTTCTCACCTCCACAACTTAACCACTAACTGTACCGCGTTTTTTGGGAGTCAGGGGTACCAGGGATTGAACTCACGGGCACTGGACCACTGAGCCATATCCCCAACCCTATTTTGTGTTTTATTTGGAGACAGGGTCTCACTGAATTGCTTAGGGCCTCCCTGTTGCTGAGGCTGGCTTTGAACTGGCAATCCTCCTGCCTCAGCCTCCCAAGCACCACAGCTCCGCTGCTTTTTAAAGTAATCTTTTAAATTTTATTTTTTCTATTTTTATGTTTTGGC